AAAGAGGAGAAGCAGAACAATGATAGGTCTCACAGCTGCAGTGAACAACAGATCGAGCATGATTCATTTTGTGTTTACGTCCGCTAGTACCGGGAGAAGGACGGCAAAGGCGTGTGGAATGGCAAGGGCAGACATTGATTATCTTCTCCATAGCTAGTATGTAGGTAGAACCTAACAATTTTTGGTAGTCCATGGCATGTTCTGACGTAGTAGTAAGATGATTAGTGTTGCATCATTTAGGTTATGTTGCGTGTCTTTGCATGGATTTGAGATTTTCTAATTGAGGTGTCCAATTGTGCAAAAGAAACTTTTATATGTGACTGGTTAGTGCTCGCGGACGCGGCCGGACGTATTTGCGGGCATTCGAGGGCCCAGATTTGTTGTCCGTGGCTCTAGATGCTCTCAAGCAAGCACGCCACAGAGCTGCGCGATTTAGTGGCCCAGAGTGGGCTACTTGAACAGCCGGTTGGCTGTGTAGTGTGTAGTGCAAGTCGATGTGTCGTCGACAGCTGTCCAGGCCTCAACGATCACGGGGCGTTCCCCTTCTACCTAGAGCATGGTTAATAATACAGTCAACTGCTAGCTATGTGAACATGATATGGCATCCCGAGTTAGTATACAGCCAACTCCATATTGTACAGGTGCTAAGAGTGCCACATAAGCAAAAAACTGATGTGGTAAAGCAATTAAAGAAGAGAGAGAGCATTATGGTGACCTTAGAGCATGGTTAATAATACAGTCAATGGTCGGCTATAAGAAGTTGCATGTCATCTACAGGCAACCTCTTAGCCGGCATTCTATAATAGTAAGTTTTAAATATGTACTAGTTTATCAATAGTTGGCCCATCTTACATCCACACAAAGCATCTTGGGTCTCGTGTTGCAGCTGGCTACTAACCAAGAACCCGCTTCTCTTCTCCCTCCTCTTCTCATTCCTAAACCATAGAGAAATACACATAAAAACAAACAAACTTAATGAATTGTTAACACGGCTACAAAATAATATGGTTATGTTAGCAACTTAAACTAGTAGAAAAGAGAGCAATGGTCCAGGCCGGGTCAGCCCATTAGTCCCGGTTCAGTCCAGAACTGGCACCAATCGTGGCATTGGACCCGGTTCGTGAGTCCCGAGGACCGGCCGGGCCACATGGGCCATTGGTCCCGGTTGGTGGGACGAACCGGGACCAATGGGCCTCGCTCCTGGCCCACCACCATTGGTCCCGGTTGGTGGCATGAACCGGGACCAAAGGTTGCCCTTTAGTCCCGGTTCATGCCACCAACCGGGACCAATGTGGTGCCTATATATACCCCCTCGCGTAAGAGCAGAGCACACTGCTATGTTTTTTCTTGCAGCCGAGGGGGAGAGGGCTTGGTGGTGCTCTAGCTCACCTCCTATGCACACAAGGTGTTCAATGGAATGCCCGAGCCACACTACTTATGCTTTCTCCTCTCCAAGCTCGACCTCCAAGCTTCATTTTCCTCAATATTTGTCTAGGTTTAGCGGTCCGTCACGCCCCGTCCCCAACTTCACCACCGTCGGTCACCAGCGCCGATCTCATCGCCGGCACCACCGTGGTGAGCCTCTTGTTCTTATCTTCTTTCTGAAAGGAAAAATATTCTTACTTGAATGTTTAGATAGATACTTGTATTATTTTCTTACTTTTATTATTGCATCTTATATAGTGCGATGGTTTTGTTATCCGCCCCCGTCGACCCTCGTCCTCTCTATGATTCGGATGTGGTATATATTATCTTTTCATAACTATTGGTTTATTTATTGTTTATGAAAATTATGCCGACCAACGTGACATAGATTTTATTTATCTAGGAGGTTGTTGAACCGGAAATTCCAACCGACCCTATTGTCAAGAGGTTAAATTTAGTTGAAGAAGAAAACAATTTCTTGAAGGAAAAAATAATAAAAATTGAGGAGGAGAAGATGATATTGGAGTTGCATGTTGCGGATGTCGTCGATGATAACAAGATCAAGATGGATGCAATGTGCTTAAAGATTAGAAATATTAGAAAATATGTCATTCATACCGAGGCTTGGTATCATTATGACGTTGGATCAGTTGTTACCTTGGTTGTGATTATGATCGCATTTGTTTTTGCATTGAAATGTTTTACATAGTTTCAATGTATGGTTTAATTAATTTAGATGCTCTGCAGAGCTTTATGTTGTTCTGTAATGATTTTCTCTTGAAGATGATAACTATGTATGTACTTTGGTTTTAATGTGATGATGAACTTCTATTAATTTGGTCACTTAATTATCTATCCATGATGTTCTGTAATGATTTTTGACACACTTTATTATATATAATGCACACAGATGAACCGGCAATGGATGTATGGTAACAGACACACCTCCGAGTACATTAAGGGCGTGCATGATTTTCTCGAAGTGGCTGAGGCAAACAAGCAGAATGGTTTTATGTGTTGTCCATGCCCTATATGTGGGAATACGAAGTCTTCCTCTGACCGGAAAATCCTTCACACCCACCTGCTTTACAAGGGTTTCATGCCACACTATAATGTTTGGACGAGGCACGGAGAAATAGGGGTTATGATGGAAGACGGTGAAGAAGAAGAGTACGATGACAACTATGTGCCCCCTGAATACGGTGATGCTACTGAACATCAAGAGGAACCAGACGATGTGCATGATGAAGCTGCAACGGGTGAAGCTGCTGAAGATCAAGAGGAACCAGAC